GTGTTCTGGAGCCAGAGCAGCAGCGCGGTACGTGGTGATTTATTATTGTTATTCTAAMCAGCAGCCTAAAAACCAACAGAATCTTCTGTATTTTTTTCCTCTCTGGTTATAGGACTGTAGGTGCGATCCAAGCACTTGAAATGACTTGAAYTTCTTCCAGTTCACCTCTTGCTCCCATTCCAAAACTTGTGCTTTGCTTTTGTCAAGTTCTGTAGCGTGAATCCCTTCCTCTTTGCGCTCGCTGCCGTGAATTTCCCACCTCCAGTTCCTGGAGTTAAACCCCATTATCCCACTGAGCCTGGTGCAGGTTTGCATGCTAAAATAACACTTGTCTAAGGAAACGTATCCTGTTGAGGAACAGGAATGCTCCTGGCRGGACAGGCTGTTATGGTCAGGGGAGGGATTTCTGTGGCTGTTGAGAGTGTGTGTTGTGGTCCCAGCTGCTGACCCTGGCAGGTGCAGGGGTGGCTGTAGCCCTGCTGACCGCCGGCTGTACTCACTCCTGCCATGTGCGAGCTCCGGAACGTGCCTGGAATAGCAAGAGGGTGGGAGAAGCCCTCCCGAAAGCCCTGGCGTGTGCCCTGGGGCTGTCCTGCCTTCGCAGTTTGGCAAAACACGTGATTTGTTGGGCAGTCATCGAGGCCGTGTTGCTGCCGGGAAAATGAGATTAATTTTGCACAGCTTTGGTGACAGCGGTGTCCTTCTTCTCCCCCCTGCTCCTCCAGTTKTCAGCCTGTGCTGGTAGCAGGGTTTAAAGGTGGTTTGGTGTGGTCAGTTGAATATCCCATTTTGATCAGGTAGAAAAACATTACAGCAATGATAATATTTGGGGGCTGGGAGAATATTTGTTAATTTTGAGTGAAGTCTGTGAGGTGTTTGTTAATGCTGGACACAGCCCCAGCTCCAGGATCTGCCTGACCATGGGGCACATGAGAGCGCAGAGCTCAGCTCCTGAGAACACACTCATTTTAAACTGAAACTTTGAGACAAAGGCAGATTGTACAGCAAAAGCCTTGCAGTCAGCCATCTTCTCCTCCCAGCTCCTGCAGCCTCTGCGGCAGCGTTTCCTTGCAGGCTGTGCTCTGATAAATGATGCTGGAGTGGGAAATGAGTTKCAATGCCGGGAGGATTGTGCTTCAGTCACTGTGCAAACGATGTGATTTATGGCTTAATGTTGATAGAAAGCACGACAATATTGATAGAAAGCACGTCAATATTGAGGGAAAGCCTGAAAATATTGAGGGGAAGCCTGTAAGGCAGTGCAGAGGCTGTGTCAGGAGCCAGCAGCTATGGATCGGCTCCTGGCAGCAGGAGGCTGCTGGGCCAGACCCTGGATTTAACATCTTGCCTGCTGTTCCCTGTGCTGGCTGCCAGCTTTCCGGGCCCYGGCTGTCACGGGTGGGTAGCACTGGCTTTTTCTGGAAATCTGGAAGGTTCTCAGCTCATTTTCTACTMATGCTATGGCCCAGCTTCTCACAGGGCTGTGGTCCTTTTCATCTGCTAAATGCTGCTGTGGASACTCTTTCGAGGAATCGTGTTCCTTATGGTGTAGCTGCTCTTGTTTTATTTATGGGTGGTGGTTGTTGTTTAAATCCACCATAGCCTGGAAGAACTTGGGAATCCCTCAGTCTCTGTTCTGCTGACAGGGAGTTAATTCTTTGCCTGATCCTGGTTGCTCAGTTTTGGCTTTGCAGAGCCCCATTATTCCTGTAAAAAAACCAGGAAAACATCTCCATGAAGGTTTTTGTGTAACTGGGTTGTTCTAAAGTCAGCACTGAGTGTAGGGAATGCCCAGATTTATCTTGGGGACAAACTCTTTTTCCCTTTTCCCATAGAGCTGCTTGTTCCGTGTGGTTGTCCAGGCAGCCTTAGATGTCTTGGTGTGTTTCCTGTCTCCTCCAGGCRGGGTTAGTGCTGCTCAGGTTTGTTTGGATTTGTTTGTTGTATGCAGCTTTSAAGGTTCTTGCCATGAGGCTCTGGTTTGAGCCCCTGCTGCACACTTCAAACTTGGCTTATTTTTCTAAACTTTCTCTTTTGTGGGGGATTGTGTGTGAGAGTTTCAGCAGGGCCACCTCCTGCCTTGCCAGAGAGGGTTGTGTTGCTCATTTCCCTGCTTTGAAATGACATCATTGTCTTTGAAATCCTGGAAAACACAACTTGGCCATGTGATGTGTTACCTGCAAATGCTTTTCCAAAAAGTCTGCAAGACGTGGCTCCAAAATCCAACTCCAAAATCCCTGGCAGGCCGAGAGTCTCAGTAGCTGTCTTAAACATAGCTGTCTGGCAAGAATAAAATGGAAATGTCCAAGTGTTCTAGCCTGATTTAAACAAATAAAATAAGTAAATTGTGGTGTATTTTTGGTGTCTATTTAGATTGAATTAAGTACTTTAGAATATATTAAAATGCAAGTTATTTATGTAATAAAAAAGTTAATGAGCCAAAAATCCAATTGTCCCTTAGGCTGGACTGGTGGAAGGTGGCAGGGGTGGAATGGAATGAGCTTTAAGGCACCTTCCAACCCAAACCATTCTGAGATTTGGATGATGACAACTTTTGATCACTCTGAATGCATTGTGTGTATTGGAATACAGGATTGGTGTTAGAAGTGGTTTTTTTTTTCTAACACAGCAGCGTCTCCCCCTCGTTTGGAACTCAGCCCCTTTGTCTTGGGAGAGCTCATTGGTAGCAATATCCTGTTTGAAGTTGTTTTAAAAGAATGACCTTGTAGGGCTTGTTTCCTGCTCTCTCTTGATGGGATTTCCTTTTTATTAAACAGGAAATAGYCTGATTACATAAAAGTGTGAGAATGACAGGTTTTTCCTTCCCAGCGAGGGTTGTTCATGTTAATTCTATTCAGAAAATTCTCAACTGCCAGAGCAGCTGAAGTTAATTTACTTTGCCTGAAACCATTGTTTACACCCAAAAGTTCCTCCTGGTGTGTTGCTGAGGCATTGTCTGAGCCCGAGCAGGTTTCCTGGAGCAGTCTGTGTCCAGGGTTCTGTAGCAGATCCTTGTTCTCACGCCTGGAAGGTGGCAGGAGTTCAGGGGTGCAAGGTGTTCTGTGCTGAGTTTCAAAGATCTGGTTCTACAGCTTTTTCTAATATTTTTCCTCTTTTTTCCCCCTTGAGCTAGAGCTCTGGATTGCAGGGGGAAGTGTCAGAGCTGGTGCTTCCTTATCTGGCAGCAAAAGTGCACTTGAAATGGCTATTCCTGCTCTTTTGGCTTTGTCCTTGGAATCACCAGCTGACCTGGAGTCAGGAGTTTGAGTCCAAGCTCTTCTGGTTGATGAGTGAGGATGGAGCACAAGTCAAGTACTGTGCTAGGAAGAGGTACAGTGGCAAACTGAGGTGGCTGGGGATGGCCCCACAGGGACTGGCTGCTGTCCCAAGGACTCTGAGCATGAATGAAGTTTACATTCCCTATTTAGGCATGGCTTTCTGGTGGTGTTCTACATGGACTGGATGCCTGGGGGAAAGGAATTCTGCCTTCCTCTTGGAGAGGGCCAAACACTCTGGATGTCACTGTAAAGTAAACTCTGATCTGTCACAGCCCAGCCTGAGGAAAGGCCAGGCAGGGACCATCCCACTTAGGACTGAGAACTGTGGCTCATGCAGCTTCATTTGTTTCCAATATGAGTTTGGTCAGTTGACGGATGAGAATTTTCAAGATAAACCAACTAGAAAACCCAGGAAATCTTGTGCTTGTTTTTGTTTTGGAAGTTTAATTTTGAATTCTGTAGGTAGATTCCTTTTGGTAATTAGTGCAAATCTTTCCATATCCTACTGGCAAATCACTGTTTCCCCAGTAAAGCCTGGGATTTCAGTGTCTCCGCAGTGTAACTCCCAAATGTCTGACACTGTTACAGCTGGCCTGGAACCTAATTGGACTGGTATGTTGGAAAGTTTCTGGAGCAAGTCCKCTTTGGCTCTGAGCTTTGTGCCAGTGAAATGATGAAGTACAACAGGATGACTCTAATGAACCAGCTTTGTTTAGAGAGCCGGACAACAGTATTAGTTTTGTTTTTAGTTTCCATCTCTGCTCATAGATGTATTGCAAGTAGATTTAATAAGCGCAGTCTATTCTTTGGGACAGTCTGTGGCCAGTTGAGAGTGTTAGRGTTTGTATTGCTGGGAGGTGGCAGATCAGATCCTGGGCTTCTACAGAGCAGAATTACACTGGAATAAAAKGTGTTTCAAGAAAAGCTGTCACAAAGGATGTGTATGGCAAATCCCTCCTGGGAAGAGGGTTGAACCATTTTTCTCATTCACAAAAGTCCGTCCTTCTGTGCAGCCCTTTCCTAAGGGATTTTAAGTTTARTAGGTTTCATATAGGCTTTTATTTTGTTTATACCTCATTGAACTGTCTCCTCTAACCCAAAAGAAGCCAATTTCTGGCTCCAGAGCTGAACTCCTTAGTGCCTGCTGCAAAAAGTGAAAAACCGGGGGCTGAGAATCTGTGCTCAGACAATGGCACATAAACACTGCAGTGGGAGTTCCTGGGTGTGTACGTGCTGTTAAGTGACAGAGCTGCAGGGACAGAGCTGCAGGGACAGGCAAGGCCAAAGGCATCAGGATGATTAGACTGAGGTACTTCCACAAAGGGTGAAGGTGCTGAGCAGCATCTTGCATTTCTGTTGTGGTGGAGGTGAATCCCAAGCTGTGAGGARTCTGCACTGAGCTCACATTGTGGGTGAGTGATGCTGTGTCCAGTACAWACGAGTTGCTTTGGTGTGCAGAGGCAGTTTTTCCTACAATGCATCAGAGCAGGGAGAGGCAATGGCTGAACTAACACAGAGAGTGTGGGAGTGCCTTGGTGTCACTGCTTATGGAATTTCCATGGCTGTCTGAACAGGGAAAAGCGAACTATTAGCAAGGCCTTGCCTTGAGTGGGTCATATCTGGGGGTGTGTGAGACACAAAGACAATCTCTGCCTTTCACCTGGGCCCTGAAGGGAGCACTGGGGGTGTCCCATCAGCTGTGCTCTGTTCTGCTCTCCACAGGTACTGCTGGTGAGCAGTAGTCGCCATCCGGACCGATGGATTGTCCCCGGGGGAGGCATGGAGCCCGAGGAGGAGCCCGGCGTGGCYGCTGTGCGTGAGGTCTGTGAAGAGGTGAGTGCCTTCACCCTGCTCTCTTAGCCTGGCTTCTGTGGGTTTGCTTTCATCWCTCTTCCTTCTTCTCTTCGAGGTGAAGAGGGAGGTAGGGTCACTGGTGACATCSCCATCCTGTGTGGGAGGAGAACAGAGTCCTAAATAAAGAGAACATGGGAATGTAATTAAACCTCTCAGCTGGAATGAACCTGTCCTTGCCTGATACCTTTAACTGAAAATAAAGTTCATCTCCTGTCACTTCAGTGCATATGATGATATCCTCTGCTTTGTTTTCTCTGTGTGAAGAAGAGTTTCATAAGAGAACTTCAAAATTTATCTGTGCCTTTGTGGAACTGTCTAGTACTTGGGTAGAAGGTAGAAATAAACCCTTATGAGCCATTAAAGGCACTCGAAATAAAGGGACCTCAGTATGTTTTGGTCTAGAACAGACTGAGGTTTATGTGAATAAGTGAAATTGGCCATAAGTTACCAGCAACAGTTCCTAAAGTGTGCATGRGTTGGTTGGTTTGTTTTTTCTTTTTCACTTGAAGCTGTTTCAGGAAGGAGATAAACAGCAGATCAAACAGATTGATGGGCTGGAGGGAGAAGGCAAGTTTTTCTCTTAAAGCTGGAAGAACARTGTTTTTCTTCATAAGAAATGTAAAGGCAGAAAATGGCAGTTGACTGCAGTGTATGTAAAACATGTCTTTAGAATTTGCATGTGAATATTAACAAATTGGGGAGATGCTTAGGTTCAGAAATGATTGCATGATTATAGATAGAATGACCAAGTAGGTTCACAGTTACATAAGRCAGGATTAAAAATGCTTTTGAGAGGGTTCTAAATCTTTGTACTCTGTGCAGAACAGAAATCAAGAGCTAATTGATGGGACTTGGGAGGAAGCTTCTCTAGCTGCTTTATTGAATTGTYTGGTATATGCAGGTTTCTTTCTGGGACTTATTTGGAAGTACCTGCTGCTGTCTAACAAAACTCTGAATATTTGCACTGYTGGACTAATCTAATGTGGCAGAGCTCGAATTGTGTGTTTCTCTTTGGATGTTTTTATAATCTAGCAGTTTATCAGAAAGAGATTATATAGTCAAAGTTTRTTTTATTAAGTGTCTTTTGGTCCCTCTAATACTAAGAATTTGCTGSTTGCAAATTTTATGTCCAGCTTATAACTCAGCTCCTGCTTTTCCAGTAACTCGGCAACCTTTCAACCACTTCACAAGCCAAAGTGAGTGTAACCAGAACAATAGAAATATTTTTAGCTGCAGACTCCTGCTTTTCAGCCCAAGTATTATTAATAATGAAGTGATTTGATACAGAAGTCCAGGGTTCATTCAGGAGGTGCAGAGCTTTGCCTCTCAAGCCTTAAAATAAATGTGCAGGGACGCTCCCTGCTCGGGCAGCAGCACCCTGGGAGAGCCGCGCTCTTTCCATGACAGCGCTGGCTGGAAGGGAGCCTTGGCAGGGCTCCTGCAGCGCAGGAACTGGTTTGGGCTGGCTGAGATAATCCCGCTGCTCGGCTGGTGTTCCCTGCTCACGTGGAGCGGTGCCCACTGCCAGTGTAACTCAAGCCGTGGCAGCCTGGCAGGGCTGAGTTCTGCCCAGCGAGGCACCCCAGCCTGGCTGCTCCCGGCAGGGAACAGTGGCAGCTCGGAGTGCTGGGAGCACCCCCAGCTCACCTGGGCACCCCCAGCTCACCTGGGCACTGCTGATTCACCTGGGCACCCCCAGCTCACCTGGGCAGCCCCAATTCACCTGGGCACTGCTGATTCACCTGGGCAGCCCCAACTCACCTGGGCACTGCCGACTCACCTGGGCACCCCCAGCTCACCTGGGCACCCCCAACTCACCTGGGCAGCCCCAACTCACCTGGGCACCCCCAGCTCA